AAACAGAACCAGTGCATTACACAACTACAACATAGGTTGGGGAGAATAACCCCTGGAAGCTGCTTAGCTACTCATGCAGATGAATGCTACATCTACTACATCAACAGACATCATAGAAGTATGCATAATAAACGAAGTTCAAGCTAACAATCAAGAGATGAGAAAAAAGCTTGTGCAGTTCTGAGCCACTCCTGAGAGTGAAGAGGTTCACTCATGGAATTGAAGCAGAAACTGGGATGACTGTTCTTCAACTTGGCTTCCTTACTGAGTGGGTGTTGCTCCTTCTTCCTTCTTGCCTTCTTCCTGGAGTTTTTCTGTGTGTTTTTGGCAAGTGAAAGGGTAACCAGAGAGAGATTCCTTCTTCTGAGAGTGAAGTTCCCCTTTTATGGAGCCTTGCAGCCAGTTCTTTTATCATGAGAGCTTCCCATGCTTGTGAATTCTTTTATCCTCCCTATGCCTTGTGCCTGGAATCCAAACTTGACTGGTCTTCTTCTCTTCTTCCAGTAGTGGCAGCATTGCTCTTATTGATCAGTAGGGGTGGCTGAAATTTTGGCTGAGGGACAAGCATGCCTCTTGGAATTCAAATGAGAGACATACTCATTAATGGCAAGATGCTTCTTGTCTGGGGAGGTGCTTTTTCGTCCACCTCAGCAAACATTGCCTCAGCAGCCCACAATTTGTTCCTTTGGCCTCAATTTTTCAGCAATCGTTCAATCAAACCCCAATCTAATTAAAACACGAAAACTAGTTAAGTAGAATGCACTAATAATAGGAAATACCCCCCAATTTCTTACTAAATTTAGAGTTAATTGTGATGCTCTTCTGTAACAAATAATCCATTATCACTTGGTTAGAAATGGCTCTCTTCATTCTTGATTTGGGTTGTTCTACCATTGAACTCGTGAATTGATCCACGTGAGATCAAATATCTTTTCTTTTGTTGTTTCTCGTGTGTTTTTTGAGTCTTTAAATCCATCTCCAAATTCCGCTGCCTACAAATCTCTGTCGTTCCGAATTAGCAAAGTAGATCTCTTGAAGATTGGTTTTGTCACGGATTGCTATCATGAAGTCTTACTATTTCTTTCAGAAACAAATCGGCATATTGACGTGCATCTTCAGTTTTTATGCAAGCAATGAAATGCGACATTTTAGAAAATCTATCCACAACTACAGAGATAGAATGGACCTCTTTGAGTTCTAGGTAAACCCAATATAAAGTCCACAGATATGTCCATCCAAGGTTGTGTAGGGATAGGTAATGGTGTGTAAAGTCCATGAGGAAGCGATTTAGACTTTGCTTGTTTACACTCCACATTGATTGATGATAGTTTGAACGTTAGACTTCATTTTGGGCCAAAAGAAATGCTCTTAGAGCACATCTAAAGTCTTAGCACACCAAAATGTCCCATTAAACCTCCAATATGCTCCTCGCATATCAAAAGTTCTCGAAGTGAACACTTAGGCACACATAGTCGATGTTCTCGAAATAGATAACCTTCATGTCTATAAAACTTTTCAAAAGCACTTTGCTCACAAGCATTAAAAATATTAGCAAAATCAATATCGTCACAATATAGATCTTTAATAAACTCAAATCCCATCAATTTTGCATCTAAAGAAGTTAACAAAGTGTAACGTCTAGATAAAGCATCAGCAACAACATTGTCTTTTCCCTTGTTATACTTGATAACATAAGGAAATGTTTCAATGAATGCAACCCACTTAGAATGTCTTTTACTTAGACGGTTTTGCGATTTAAGATACTTTAGAGATTCATGATCAATATGAATTATAAACTCCTTAGCCAACAAATAATGTTGCCAAGTCTCTAATGCACGAACCACAGCATAGAGTTCCTTATCATAAGTAGGATAATTAAGACCATTTCCATTTAACTTTTCACTAAAGAAAGCTATAGCACGTTTATCTTGCATTAAAACAGCACCGATACCAATACCAGAAGCATCAGATTCTAACTCAAATGTTTTGTTAAAATCAGGCAATGCTAAAATAGGGGCACTAGAAAGGTCTCGTTTTAAGTCATTAAAAGCTTTCTCTTGGGCTGGTCTCCAAACAAATTTAACTTCCTTTTTAACCAACTCATTTAAAGGGGCAGCTTTAGTCGAAAAATCTTTAACAAACCTTCTATAAACACTAGCCAAACCATGAAAAGATCTCACTTGTGTCACATTGGTTGGTGTAGGCCAATCCTTAATAGCTTGTATTTTAGATTCATCAACACGAATTCCTTTTGCAATAACAATGAAACCAGGAAAAACAAACTTACCAATATAATGCCTCAAAACATGATTCATTAATCTCATAAAAGTACTAGGAGCATTAGTTAACCCAAAAGGCATCACTAACCACTCATACAAACCAAACTTTGCTTTGAAAGTAGTTTTCCATTCATCTCCTTGTCTAATTCTTATTTGATGGTATCTAGATTTTAAATCCACTTTAGAAAAGATAGTAGCACCATAAAGATCTTCAAGCATATCATCTAATCTAGGGATTGGATGTCTATACTTAATAGTTATCTTATTAACAGCATGACAATCTATGCACATATGCCACGTACCATCTTTCTTAGGCACAAGTAAAACAGGAACAATACAAGGGCTGAGAGATTCTCGAATTTGACCTTTAGTAAGGAGTTCTTCTACTTGCTTTTGTAGTTCCTTTGTTTCCTCAGGATTTGCTCTATAGGTAGGTCTATTCGGGATGACTGCGCTAGGAATTAGGTCAATTTGATGTTCTATTCCATGTATAGGAGGAAGTTCATTAGGCAACTCCTCGGGGAATATCTCTTCGTACTCTTGAAGTAGCCTTTGAAACACCTTAGGCAAATTGCTAGGAACTTCGGTTAGTAAAACAGAATTATCACGTAAAAGCATTAAAATCACACCTGTTCCTTTTGCAAAACACTTCTCCACCGATTTGGGACTAGCGAAGAAATTTTTGCCCACTGGCTCTCGAATGTGTAGACCATTTGAAGATCTCTTTGGAACGTCCAAAGTAGATTCATCTTTAGGACTCTTCTCCTTCATACGTCTCTCTCTTTCTTGAATCATTCTCAGATTACATTCATGAACTTGAGGAGGTGAAAGAGGTGACAGAGTATAGTTACGACCATTCATTACAAACGAATGTTTGTGTATCAATCATGCTTTACTCTTCGATCATACCCCCGTGGTCATCCTAAAAGTAGGTGACTTGCCTCCATAGGTACCATTTTTTCACAAAGTACTTCATCCTCATATTTTCCAATAGAGAATGGTACATTCACTTGCCTAGTGACTCTAAGATTGCCACAATCATTCAACCATTGGACCCGATACGGTGTCGGATTCTTGATAGTAGGTAGCTTCAGATTATCTACAAGATATGAACTAGCAACATTAGCACACGATTCTGGATCTATAATAGTTAAGCGTACCTTATCCATAACTCGACACTTAGTATGGAAAATATTATTCCTTTGTTGATCATCTTCAGCTACTTGAGTTTGTAATGCTAGAAGGTTGACAAACATTTGTCCAGCCTCATCATCAATCTCTACAACTTCTTTCTTGACTTCTTCAACAAATCTTGGCATCTCTTCATCTTCTTCATCTGTTTCACTTTCAAAACTTCCATCCTCTTTAAGGATCAAAGTCTTTAAAGTTGGACAATCAGAAGCTATATGTCCTTGCCCCTGACATTTGAAACAAGTAACATCTCTAGTTCTGACTTTGTTAGTATTACAAGATGAAGTGGAATTCTTAACATTAGAAGATGGTTTAGGAATATTAGAAGTATTAGAAGCATTAGAACCACTTCCCTTTTCAAACTTTGAAGAATTACCATATTTCTTTGAATCATCTTTCTTCCATGGTGTAGAAGACTTATGTGAATCTAACTTCTTTTTTGCCAATTGTCTCTCCACAATCCTAGCTTTGTGTAACATCTCAGCTGGATCTAGGTTGTGTGAAAGTGATGGAGACCATCTAGCTAACACTAATGGAGAGGGACATGTTGCTGCCAATGGAGAGGACGAGCAAGTTGAGGTCGTGAATGCTAATGGAGGATCTAAAGATGCTACTTTGATTGGCTACATTAAAGATTGCCTTGCATTAGGAGATTTCAAAAGAGTTCGAAGTGAAGTTGGAAAGAATCTTCTTGAAGAGGTATATTCAAAGTCTATCTCTATCTAAGAAGGTTAGATAAAGTTGTGTTTGATTGGGAGTTTATCTTTGCTATTTAATTGCCTATATTCTCTTAAATTTATAAGATTCTCTTCAAATTTTATCCTAATCTTATCTTATTGGATAAAACCTTATCCTATCTTATTGGATAAATCTTATCCTTATCTCATCTTATAAAAAATAAGATTCTCTTTAAATCTTATCCTTATCTTATCTTGTAAGAGATAAAATCTTATCCTTATCTTATCTTGTAAAAGATAAGATTATCATAAAATCTTATCCTTATCCTATAAGAGTTTGAGTTTGAGTTGGAGTCTGAGATATCATTTGAGTTTGCTTATACTTCTAAAGCGAGATCCCTATTTTTTCTCCAAACACTCGAACGAGATTCGTGTTCTCCCTCGTTCTTTTCTGGAATTTCCGTAAATTTATTCTACGTGCTAATTGATTTTATCTACTTTTGAGTGTTTTATTAGAGTGGATTGTTAATTTGTTGTGGTGCATACTGCTACTACTTGAACATTGAAGCGGATCCGGAACTTTATCAAAGGTCTTTGAGTGGTAAAAGGCTTGAGTGTTTTCTTTCTATTCCACTTTGACATTGAGGAAAAAGCCAAATAAATCCCAAAGAGAGCATACAAAAGGTGAGTTGTGTGTGATACTACCAAAAGGGGGGAAAACTAAAAGATCATTGGTTAGGGGAAGTGAGGTAGGAACGTTTTCTACTAACATCCTATATATTCATTTGTTCTTTGATCTTAAAGGATGTCATCTGGAGATGATGAAGAGCAAAGAGACCGTTCTCAAGAGGCTATGCGAGAAACTCTTGCTAGATTGTATAATGTTACTACTCAATTATGTAGTAGAATACAAGATCTAGAACTGGAGGTTCGTAATGGTCGTGCTCAAGGTAATGAAGGTAATGAAAATCGTAATAGAGCTGATCGTGTTGTCAATAGGAATGATCCTTATGAACTTGGTAATTTCAAAGTTAAAATTCCTGAATTTAGTGGTACTAATGACCCTGAAGCCTATCTTACATGGGAAAAGAAGGTAGAGCGTGCTTTTTCATTGCAGGATTATGATGATTCTAAGAAAATTAGAATGGCCGTTTACCAATTCAATAACTATGCTTCAAAATGGTGGGACCAAGTTTTCGAGGATAGGAAGCTCTATGATGAGGATCATGTATCCACATGGGATGAAATGAAAAGACTCATGCGCAAAAGGTTTGTTCCCTCTTATTATTATCGAGATTTGTGTAAACAAATTCAAAGTCTTTCACAGGGAACCAAGTCTGTTGATGAGTACTATCAAGAGTTAGAGTTGGCATTGATACGTGCAAATATTAAAGAGGAGCCTGAAGCTATGATGGCGAGGTTTCTAGGAGGATTTAACTAAAACATTGCCGATGTTGTGGAACTTTCACATTACCTAGATCCAACTGAGATGTTACACAAAGCTAGGATTGTGGAGAGACAATTGGCAAAGAAGAAGTCAGATCCACATAAATCTTCTACACCATGGAAGAAAGATGATTCAAAGAAGTATGGTAATTCGTCAAAGTTTGAGAAGGGGAGTAGTTCTAACGCTTCTAATACTTCTAATATTCCTAAACCATCTTCTAATGTTAAGAATTCTACTTCATCTAGTAATACTAACAAAGTCAGAACTAGAGATGTTAATTGTTTCAAATGTCAGGGACGAGGACATATAGCTTCTGCTTGTCCAACTTTAAAGACTATGATCCTTAAAGAGGATGGAAGTTTCGAAAGTGAAACAGATGAAGAAGATGACGAGATGCCAAGACTTGTTGAGAAAGTCAAAAAAGAAGTTGTAGAGATTGATGCTGAGGCTGGACAAGTGTTTGTCAACCTTCGAGCATTACAAACTCAAGTAGCTGAAGATGATCAACAAAGACACAATATTTTCCATACTAAGTGTCGAGTTATGGACAAGGTATGCTTAACTATTATAGATCCAGGATCGTGTACTAATGTTGCTAGTTTATATCTTACAGATAATCTGAAGTTACCTACTATCAAGCATCCGACACCCTATCGGTTGCAATGGTTGATGAGAATCATGTAGCCTTCCATGGAGGTTCTCCTAGTGAGGGGAATGAGCTAGTCCTTCATTCTAGTTTTGGAATGCCAAGTTTACTTTGCAGGCCAATCAAGGAAGAAAGGATGGATCTTGACTACCTATGTGATAGGGAGTTGGTTCAAAAGAGCTATGATCAAGGGAATGAGAATGTCATTAACTTTGGGGTTCAAACCAAAGTAGATGAAGACCTCATGGAAATAAGTGCTGAAGAGTATCAAGAGAGTTTGACTCTGTGTGCTCCATGAAGATCATTGATCAAGCTAGTGAGAAGAGTCATTTAGGTTCTTGAATGGACGACCTATTTGATCAAAGTGTTCAAGATTGAGTCCATTGCTACACAATTGGGTAGGTTGCAGAAACCGTTCTTTTTCAAGTATGCTTCTTGATAGAATTGTTTTAAAACTAAACTTCTTATTTTCATACTACTTCTAGTAGTTCGATTGATGAGCCTTTCCTTTGGCTTGGTGTTCGAATTTCATGATGAGTGTGTTCATGAGATCCATTGTGGGGTTTGTCCTACTTTTGTTGGATGAGTTGTGCTTTGGCATAAGCATTTTGAGATAGCGTATGTGTTTCATATCTTTGGTTGGTTATGAAGATTACTAATTAATTGTATTCCCTCATAGTTGGGCATTGTTTGCTCCTACCTTTCTTGAGTCTCTTGATAGATGACTGGTCGAGTATATTGAATGGTGTCCTTGCTATTCTTAGCGTGGGTTGTTGTTTAATTCGAATCTTTCATGGATAATGTGTTCTTTGCTTGGTTTGAGTTAAGAGATAGAATCACTTAGATAAACGATCGTCTTACTGTGAATTTTCCGCACTCTTTTGAGTTTCACGGGATAGACAAAATTATCTTCGTACTTTCTTGTTGATGGTTGCATTAACGAAATTTGCTTCGTCTACGAGATTGGAAAATATGAGGATGAAGTACTTTGTGATGTGATACCTATGGAGGCAAGCCACCTACTTTTAGGATGACCATGGGGGTATGATCGAAGGGTAAAGCATGATGGATACACAAACAAGTATTCGTTTGTGATGAATGGTCATAGCTATACCCTGAAACCTCTTTCACCTCCTCAAGTTCAAGAATGTAATCTGAGAATGATTCGAGAAAGAGAGAAACGAATGAAAGAGCAGAGTCCTAAAGATGAATCTACTTTGGCCATTCCAAAGAGATCTTCAAATGATCTACAAATTCGAGAGCCAGTGGGCAACAATTTCTTCGCTAGTCCCGAATCGGTGGAGAAGTGTTTTGCAAAAGGAACAGGTATGGTTTTAATGCTTTTTCGTGATAATTCTGTTTTACTAACTGAAGTTCCTAGCAATTTGCCTAAGGTGTTTCAAAGGCTACTTCAAGAGTACGAGGATATATTCCCTGAGGAGTTGCCTAATGAACTTCTTCCTATACGAAGAATAGAACATCAAATTGATCTAATTCCTGGCGCAGTCATTCCGAATAGACCTGCATATAGAACAAATCCTGAGGAAACAAAGAAACTACAAAAGCAAGTTGAAGAACTCCTTGCTAAAGGTCAAATTCGAGAATCTCTCAGCCCTTGTGCTGTTCCTGTTTTACTTGTGCCTAAGAAAGATGGTATGTGGCGTATGTGCATAGATACTCGTGCTGTTAATAAGATAACTATTAAGTATAGACATCCAATCCCTAGATTAGATGATATGCTTGAAGATCTTTATGGTGCTACTATCTTTTCTAAAGTGGATTTAAAATCTGGCTACCGTCAAATAAGAGTTAGACAAGGAGATGAATGGAAAACTGCTTTCAAAACAAAGTTTGGTTTGTATGAGTGGTTAGTGATGCCTTTTGGGTTAACTAATGCTCCTAGTACTTTTATGAGATTAATTAATCATGTTTTGAGGCATTATCTTGATAAGTTTGTAAGTGTATTCAAAAAGTTTACAAGAACATGTTGAACATGTGAGAATTGTTTTGCAAACATTGAGAGAAGAGAAACTTTATGCTAACATGCCTAAATGTTCATTTTGTGTAAATGAAGTTGTGTTTCTTGGTTTCATTGTTAGTGCAAAAGAAATTCATGTTGATGAATCTAAAATACAAGCTATTAAGGATTGGCCTACACCAACTAATGTGACACAAGTGAGATCTTTTCATGGTTTGGCTAGTGTTTATAGAAGGTTTGTTAAAGATTTTTCGACTAAAGCTGCCCCTTTAAATGAGTAGGTTAAAAAGGAAGTTAAATTTGTTTGGAGACCAGCCCAAGAGAAAGCTTTTAATGACTTAAAGCAAGACCTTTCTAGTGTCCCTATTTTAGCATTACCTAATTTTAACAAGACATTTGAGTTAGAATCTGATGCTTCTGGTATTGGTATTGGTGCTGTTTTAATGCAAGATAAACGTGCTATAGCTTTCTTTAGTGAAAAGTTAAATGGAGCTTGTCTTAATTATCCTACTTATGACAAGGAACTCTATGCTGTGGTTCGTGCATTAGAGACTTGGTAACATTATTTGTTGGCTAAGGAGTTTATAATTCATACAGATCATGAATCTCTAAAGCATCTTAAATCGCAAAACCGTCTAAGCAAACGACATGCTAAGTGGGTTGCATTCATTGAAACATTTCCTTATATTATCAAGTATAAAAGGGAAAAGAAAATGTTGTTGCTGATGCTTTATCTAGACGTTACACTTCGTTAACTTCTTTAGATGCAAAATTGATGGAATTTGAGTTTATTAAAGATCTATATGGTAATGATATTGATTTTGCCAATACTTTTACTGCTTGTGAGCAAAGTGCTTTTGAAAAGTTTTATAGACATGAAGATTATCTATTTCGAGAAAATCGACTTTGTGTGCCTAAGTGTTCACTTCGAGAACTTTTGATACGCGAGGCGCATAGTGGAGGCTTAATGGGACACTTTGGTGTGCCTAAAACTTTGGATGTGCTCCAAGAGCATTTCTTTTGGCCCAAAATGAAGTCTGACTTTCAGACTATCATCAATCAATGTGTGGAGTATAAACAAGCGAAGTCCAAATCGCTTCCTCATGGACTTTACACGCCATTGCCTATCCCTACTGGTGCTTGCTGAGTTCACCAAAAAAATAAAGATAAATATTACTAACTTGGATTATGAATTTTGTAGATAATGGAAGCTAGGTCGATCACACGAGGACAGCTAATTACCAAATTTGTTGTAAGGAAAAACTGTCAGTCAACAAGATGTCACTCAGGAGAATGAAAATAGTCACTCAGGGGAATGGAGGCCAGGGGTGTTCTTCTCCTCTTCCTACTGTTGTAGTTGTTTTATTAGCACTGTTGATGGAGACCATCTAGCTAACACTAATGAAGAGGGACAAGTTGCTGCCAATAATGGAGAAGACGAGCAAGTTGAGGACGTGAATGCTAATGGAGGATCTAAAGATGCTGCTTTAAAGAATAATCCTTACATTCGTGATCCACTTTCAAACATTGTTGGACCAATGACTCGTGCTAGACGCAAGAGGATGAATGAATCACTTAATAGTCTAATTGTTACTACATGGGCTAAGGAGGAAATTAAGCTTGAAGATTACAAGCCCAAGACTATTAATTTGCTGCAAGTGACACCAAATGGACATGGCCCATTTGGAGAGAAGAATTTCGGCCCTCAATCCACAAGGGGACCGCCGGCCACCTTTCCTCATGTTGGTCGAATTTCTCCCTAAAGTTTAGGGGTGAGATCATTCAAATTTTATCTCTTTGAAAGATAAGACTTTTATCTCTTTAAAGGATAATATTTGGGATGATTCTTTTTACTTGTTTTTCGAGTTTTCCTACAATAAGGAGTCAGCTTTTTGATGTCTACTCAACCGTTGGATGAAGACTACATCAAAATGGATGGCTAAGATCACTCTACAAAGAAGATGATGATAGAGTTTTAACTCAAGGGAGATTCTATCCATTGGAATCTTTCTAAGAGATTATCTCTTTGTATTTTGGAGTTTTAATTAATTCCTACAAGTCTTAAATGTTTTAAGACTAGTAAAAGTGTCTAGGTTCGTTATCTTAAGTGGAGTCTTTAGAGTTTGATTTCATTCAGATTCTTAGAGATAGGAATAGAGGTGAAGAGTTGTGTTCTTCCTCTACTTCTAGGATAGAAATTTCGGCCACCCCTCTATATAAAGGGACCGAAATCCTCTTGTCCAACACCTTTTGGTCATTTTGATAATTTTCCTGAGTGAAATTGGTTAGGATTTTATTCCTTTCGTGCAGTTCTTGTGAGGACTTCTTTGTTTGATTGTTGCATATGTGTTGTGACAATTGTTAGACTTATCTATCTTGTTTAGTTCGCTTGATAGTGGCGTCTATAGCATTGGATCTTTTGAATCTTCGTATTTGGGCTCATAGATCTCATATCTATTGGGTTTTCTTACACAATTTTCAAAAGGGTCTCTGCTTGGTTAGAAATAGCTCTCTTCATTTTTGATTTGGGTTTTTCTACCATTGAACTCGTGAATTGATCCACGTGAGGTCAAATATCTTTTCTATTCTTTGTTTTCGTGTGTTCCAGAGTCTTTAAATCCGAATTTCCAAATTCCGCTGCCTACAAATCTCTGACTTTCCGAACTAGCAAAGTTGATCTTTTCTTAGAGATTGGTTTTGTTACGGATTGCTATCAACTGTAATGGTTGAGTTCTTGTTCATTCAGCTCACTTATAACTCTAAGTCAGTTCCCATTTTTCCTAGAGTCATCTTTGCAACCTTGACAACCTATTTTCTAATGATTGATTCAGCTACAAAGTCATTAAGTTCTTAGGCCTTCGAGAATGCTTATGTTAACTAAGTATATTCCTATCTTAGTTAAAACCATAGACTGTTACCTCTATGTCATAAGTTAAAGTTGAAACAATCCAAACCAAGTTTATCCTTCCAGATCTCCCTTAGTTCTAGCATGCATTCAATTTAGTGATCAAGTAAATAATGTAGAAAAACTTTTAACCATAAAACAAGGAACAAACCAGTGCTTTGGCAACTACAACATCAGTTGAGGAGAATAACCCCTGAGAACTGTTTAGCTACTCATACAGATTAATGCTACATCTACTACATCGAAAGACATCATAGAAGTATGCATAATAAACAAAGTTCAAGCTAACAGTCAAGAGATGAGGAGAAAGCTTGTGCAGTTTCTGAGTCACTCTTGGGAGTGAAGGGGTTCACTCGTGGAACTGAAGAAGAAACTGGGTTGCTAATCTTCAACTTGGCTTCCTCTATGAGTTGTTACTACTTCTTCTTCTTTCTTGCCTTATACCTGGAGTTTTTCTGAGTGTTTTTAGCAAACACTAATGGAGACCATCTAGCTAACACTAATGGAGAGGGACATGTTGCTGCCAATAATGGAGAGGACGAGCAAGTTGAGGTCGTGAATGCTAATGGAGGATCTAAAGATGCTGCTTTAAAGAATAATCCTTTCATCCGTGATCCACTCTCAAACATTGTTGGACCAATGACTCGTGCTAGACGCAAGAGTATGAATGAATCACTTAATAGTCTAATTGTTACTACATGGGCTAAGGAGGAAATTAAGCTTGAAGATTACAACCCCAAGACTATTAATTTGTTGCAAGTAACACCAAATGGACATGGCCCATTTGGAGAGAAGAATTTTGGCCCTCAATCCTCAAAGGGACCGCCGACCACATCTCCTCATGTTGGTCGAATTGCTCCCTAAAGTTTAGGGGTAAGATCATTCAAATTTTATCTCTTTGAAAGAGAAGACTTTTATCTCTTTATAGGATAATATTTGGGATTCTTTTTATCTTGTTTTTCGAGTTTTCCTACAATAAGAAGTCAGCTTTTGAACATGGTGGTTCCTTGCTGTTACCCCTAAGGTTTCAGTTGATCCATTCCCTAAAATTTTTTTTTTTTTTTTTTTTTGAACATGCAGGCTGTGAATGGGTACCACAAAGGAAGTCTCAGATTTACAGACATTTCTTATCTAATTGTAGCTCAGAACTAGACACAGCTCACAACAGTGGATTAGTCATGCCAAATTTTAAGAGTTCTGTTCTAGGCAGTCACTTCCACGAGTGGCATTGTTCATGTGTGCGAGTGAGTGTTAGCCATTCTTCTTTCATGCATCAGATTCAGTATCAAAAAGTGATCAAAAAGTGGTTTAGCAAAATTGTTTTTCAAAACCATTATCATCCTAGATTGTTGACAGCTCCTTGGAAGATTTTCATTTTTGAGAGATATTTAGAGATATTTTATAGAGTCAATCTAGACATGAAGCTAATGGACCTAAATGGCACTGTCCTGACATTGACCGACCTAACCACAACTAACTACTACTACATTACTCCCCCAAACTTATTCTAAGCATTGTCCCCAATGCTTAACAACACCAACCCGGCAACAACAATAAACATAAAAAAAAGAGTACAGAAGACAACACATGAAACATTAAATAGGAAACAAATAAATTGCTGATTAAGGGAAGCAGAACAGCACTTCCCTGAGTGTTTATTGAGGCATTCCGTGAAGTGGGTGGACTGGCGGATCGTGCAGCATTGGGCAGTTTTCAGGGCATCCAATGCACTTGTGCATTTCCTACAGGAATTTCTCTGTCCTCATCTGGCACTGGTGGACGTAATCCAGGATGAACCTGGTCTGTTTGTTGAAATCCCTCTGCCTCAATTGTCCAATTGGAGTGGGAGTGGATGTTGTTTGTCCTGCGGATGAGGCACCTGGGGGTTTCTGGTCCAACTTATGCATCCTTAATGGTTGCTGCAAGTTGCTCTCTGCATCTGTGTGCAGGAAGGTCACCCCTGCCCTTTTGCATAGCATGGTGACCATAACTGGGAAATACCAGCTCTTCACCTTTGGATCAGTGATGCATCGGGTGAGTTGCTCTCGGATGACTGAGGCTGCATCAAATGGTGTGTCCGTGACAATGGCATATAGCAGCAGAGCCATCTCGTAGGTGACCTTAGCAGTGTAGGATGTTGGCATCAGATTGCAGCAGATGAAATGGTGCCACAGATTTAAGTCAGGCGTCTGCAACGCATTTGCTGGAAATCCCAAAGGGTTTTCTTGATCATCCATCTCCCAGCTTGTGCCCTCTTTTGCCAATCTGGACAGAATGGCTTGTTCCAGCGGTTGATTTGGATGCAGGGCAGCCAGGATTTCTCTGTAATCAGTGCTTATTCTTGGTAACTTCCAGATGGACCTGATGGCCTCTGTGCTGCAATTGACGCTGATGCCTCTGACGAATACTCCATCTCTGGGGGCTTGACCGGTGGTTTGGAGAAGGTCTCCCAGCCATGGCGCTTGATGATAGCAATCTCGTAGACGAAGCAAATTTCGTTAATGCAACCATCAACAAGAAGGTACGAAGATAATTTTGTCTATCCCGTGAAACTCAAAAGAGTGCGGAAAATTCACAGTAAGACGATCGTTTATCTAAGTGATTCTATCTCTTAACTCAAACCAAGCAAAGAACACATTATCCATGAAAGATTCGAATTAAACAACAACCCACGCTAAGAATAGCAAGGACACCATTCAATATACTCGATCAGTCATAATCAAGAGACTCAAGAAAGGTAGGAGCAAACAATGCCCAACTATGAAGGAATACTATTAATTAGTAATCTTCATAACCAACCAAAGATATGCAACACATACACTATCTCAAAATGCTTATGCCAAAGCACAACTCATCCCAACAAAAGTAGGATAAACCCCACAATGGATCTCTTGAACACACTCATCATGAAATTCGAACACCAAGCCAAAGGAAAGGCTCATCAATCGAACTACTAGAAGTAGTATGAAAATAAGAAGTTTAGTTTTAAAACAATTCTATCAAGAAGCATACTTGAAAAGAATGGTTTCGCAAGATCAACAAGATCCAAGACAAGATGAAAACCCTCTTGGTTTAAACATACTTGACACGAAAAATGGACACTCCATTTAACAAAAATTCCTCACAGGAAAAACTCTCAAAAGAGACAACAAAATGACCACTCAAGGGTGCTTCTAAAATTCGGCCAAGCCTCCTTTATATAGGCTTGAATTTTTCGGCCAGCACCTCTAAAAAGAAGACCAATTAGGACTCTCTAATCTTATCTCACAAGGAGTAAAAGTAGAAGAGTACTTGATCTCTTTGACTCTATCCAAAATCTAGGAAACCTTATCTAAATCACTTATCCTCAAGTAGGATAATATCTAGAAGGAATCTAAGACTCCTAATCAAAACACTCTAGCTTAATTCAGTCCACATGACTTATTTAACTAGATAAAATTCGAAAAAATTGACTCCTAGACTTAGACTAACTCTAATCTCGAAATTCAGCTCCAAATTATTGAAGTAAAATGTCTTGAACGCCCTTCCAAAAGTGGAATATTGGTCTTGCGCCCCTTAAGTTGTAGAAACCCCCAATTTACTCCAAAACTTGTAGAATTCACCTTATTGACTCCAAAAGAATGGAAAAACACTTGAAACAATTAAGATAGTTTGCACCCTATCCAATTGTGTAGCAATGGACTCAATCTTGAACACTTGGATCAAATAGGCCGTCCACTCATGAACCTAAATGACTCTTCTCACTAGCTTTGATCAATGATCTTCATGGAGCACACAGAGTCAAACTCTCTTGATACTCTTCAGCACTTATTTCCATGAGGTCTTCATCTCCTTTGGTTTGCACCCCAAAGTTAATGACATTCTCATCACCTTGATCATAGCTCTCTTGAACCAACTCCCTATCACATAGGTAGTCAAGATCCATCCTTTCTTCCTTGATTGGCCTGCAAAGTAAACTTGGCATTCCAAATCTAGAATGAAGGACTAACTCATTCCCCTCACTAGGAGAACCTCCATGGAAGGCTACATGATTCTCATCATCCCCTCCTTCTTTAAGAGGATTCGTCCTCGAATCATCAACCTCTATACCTGCACAAGGAACAAACGAGATATAAGGGTTAGTAAAATCCTCACCCTCACCACACTCGATTTTCTCTCATTGCGTGCATTTATTTCTTTTTCCACGCTATTTTCATGGTTTTCTCTCGCCTCAAGTCTTACCTCATCGTGACCCTTTTTACTTTCTTGCGTCACTCGCTCGACTTTTTCTCTCCCTTGTGTATAGGTTATCTTACGTCTTTTCTCTCGCATGATTCAGATCTTCACAAGCCAAAGGCTTAAGAACATATTTTCTGTCCTCTTTAGTAAAGACAAAGATATTCTTTGAGCAATGGTGCACAAAGATCTACATCCGATCGCCAAGGCCTACCTAGCAAAATATCACAAAGAGACATAGGAATTACATCAAAGTAAATTTCATCCCTATACTCACCAATCTGAAAAGGAACCATGGCCTTTTAGTAACATCCACAACCATCTCTTCACTCAACCATTGAAGCTTGTATGGTCTAGTATGCGGATCCATCTGAATTCCGTTTGCTATGCAAAATTCCTCACTTACACAATCAGTACTCGACCCACCGTCGATTACCAAATCAACTTCATTGGACCACCCAACCGAACACTTAGTACGGAAGATACAAGTCCGTTGATCTCCATCTTCAGCTCCAAACACCAACCCCGATCCTCAATTGGACCATTCCAACCACAAGAAGTATCATGCTCTCTTTCCACTTCTAAGGCAGCATAGTATGCCTCATAGAGCCTTGATTGTCTCCTTATCTTTGGATGTTGTTTGAAACACTTGTCCAAGCCATAGTGGAAACGGTCTGTCAACATGTAGTCGTTCTCATCCACTTCTGAACTCAGAAACAACCCCTCTAATTCCTCAAAGTAAGATTGAATGGATCTATCATTCTGCTTACAATTGAGCAACTTCACTTTTGCTTCATCAAAGGTGTTAGTACCAGCATATCTTTCTCGCAAAGCACTTCTCAAATCATTCCAATCATCCAAGTTACGAAACCAATAATGCGAATAGATATTTGAAACTAGCTTCCACCAATTCAAAGCATTAGAACGAAAACAACCTATAGCTAAGGCTATTTTCTCACTCTCTTTCTCTATGTTAAGCAACACAAACAAATTCTCTATGCTCTTTCCCAAGTATCATATTCTCTATGACAACCATAAAACAAAGGCAATGACACTTGCAACATTCCAGCATACGAGGGTACTTGTTTAACTTCAAAACGATCACATAAGACTCTTAAATTTTCAGCAATTTTCTCAAAACTTACCATAGCTTTATCTTGCTGATTTGAAAGCATTTGAGACAAGTCTCGGTTTGCCTCCTTAACCTCGGCCAAAGCTTCATGTAGGAAGTCAATTTGACTCTTCATGAGCTGTACTTGAGCCTCCATGCGACCCTCTACACTCTTTGAAGCGATTTGAGTACAACCAGCAACTCCGGATGACATCTTTGCTCAACAATCTTGAGAATCCACAAACAAAAGAAGTAATGTGCCTTGTTTACTACACAAAACCTCCTTGAACCCTAGAACCAAATTATGGTTCGGCCAAAACCCCCCCAAGAACCAAAGGAAGGTTCAAATAAAGCTCTCCCCAAAAACAAAAACTCTCTTGTGCTTTTAAGAACACAACTCTCAAAAATTTCAGAATTAAAGAGAAGAGTGCTTCCCTTGCTTTTCTCTTTTGATCTCGGCAGCAAGAAAGAAGAAGAAAAATTGGAGTAGAGTGTGTGAGAATTTTCGAAAAACAGCACTCCTAGTTATAGGTAATGCAAGTCTTTTTGTGCAAGAAAACTCCTACAAGATAGGACCTAAATTTTCTCAAAAATATTCCCCCCTAAATGATGAAGGTTTGCTCGACAATGTGGAATAAAGAAGAAGAAAAACCGGCCTCATATATATAGACAAGGATAGAGTCCTAAAACTTAGGTAAACATCATCCTTTTTGGACACAAATTAAGAAAACTCATCCCTACTTATTAGAGATAAAATTTTCGACCCCCCTACTACTAAAAGGACTCAAATACACGGCCACACACATGCACAAATGTATTAGAAGACTAAAATATTTTTAGATTAGGATAAGACTTCCTTATCTTAATAGTTTTTGAAAATAGACTCACTTTAAAACTCTAATTATAATCTCACTGAAATTATAATTTAACACATGCAAAAATTAGTATTTAAATCCAAGTAGAACTTAAATAAAACACACAATAAAATTGTATTACAATTAGGAAACAATGGCTGCAATTTTCGGCCAATGTGAACACAAAAATCCAAAACCGACTAGGACTCAAATCATAACACAATTTGGACTCAATGACCTTAATTTTAGAGCTAAAATTTTCGGCCATGTGAACACACAAATACAAGACCAAATAGGTCTCCAAGTGTAACACAAATAGACAACCAAAATTCAAGTTCAACTAGAATTAGGAAAACCTAATTTTTAGCTTCACAATTTCAGCTATACTATGACTCTAAAATTCAAAACCAACTAGGCTTAGAATAACACATAAATCACACGCACACACATGCAAAAAGTCAGCAAAATTTCGGTCATTAACCTTTTACCACATAGTTAAAATTTGAAAAATTACTTTTGACTCACTTAAAAAGGAAACTTGAAAATTACCACTTTCCAAAATGGACAACAACTTTTAGAATCTTTCTAAAAACCCTTTTCCAAATTGTACTTGGAATTAACAAAAATCACTTTTTACCAAAACAATCCATGGCAAATAAAGTAACAAGAACACCATAATTATAATTCAATTATGACATTTGCTTCATAATACTAAATTCAACACAAATCATTCTGAAAACTCAATGACTTAACAATGCCATCTTCATAAGTGACCATTGAAAATCAATCTTTCAACAACCAAATATGTAAACTTTGAGAATACATCTCAAAACCTATAAGATTTCTTGTCAAACATTAAGAAAATCTTTTTAGAAAATCTTCACTTAATTTTCGACCCTACTCTCGAAAATCAAGGTTTTAGAACACAAGTCAAAGACTTTAATCCTTAAAGTTGGCACAATTCAACTTCAAAGACCTTAACACACTTTGATACCAAAACTGATATCACTAAAATTCATTCTTCATCACTTGACAAAGAAAGTTTTTGACTCAAATTCAAAGCGTAAAACTCGAGAAACAAGAAAACCAACACTTGTTAATTTTGAAAAATCTTTTGACACTAAGATTAAACAAAATTCGGTCTCTATGAAATTTTCATGAGTTGAAAATCTATAAATTCCATTTTACTCATTAGATTCAAATGAAACCAACAAGAAGGAAGGCTTTTTCATTTATACCTTATGTAGAAAGTACAAAATCCTTAAGCTTCACCTTTCAAGAATAGATCCAAGATATTTACCACAAGATAAACTCTCAAATCTTCCTTATGTAAAGACATCTCTTTTAGAAAGAAAAGGCTAGCTCGAGCAAGAAGCTCTTCTTTGGCATCAATTCTCTCCTTAAAGATCCAACACATAAGATCCACTAACTTGCTCATAGGAGAAACAGTTCTCTACTTGCAAATCAAGGATAAATTTCAAGATGTAGCGCCCACTTTGATTAGATACTAACGTACCATCATCAAGCTCTCGCATAGACCTTAAAATAACACCACAAGATCAAACAAATGTGTAAGAAGTCTCGCACAACCACACAAAAGACAAGATCAATTTTGAAAACGTAGTTTTCACAAGAATTTGATTTATTTTTTCAACACCCCATTCCAAAACAAGAAGGAACCTTGAAACAAATAAAGATAGTACTACTCGTTAAGTAGCACAAAGCTCGATCACCACACCAAGTAACGGATTCCGTGGTAATTCAAGATATTCTCAAAACCAAGAACTATAAAGTTCCCAACTAAGAAGAAATCTCTCGAAAATCAAACTGATAATAGGAATTGATATGACAATATCAATTAATACCATCACTAAGATAATCCAAGCTCTGATACCAAGAAACTGATAGCAATCTCGTAGACGAAGCAAATTTCGTTAATGCAACCATCAACAAGAAGGTACGAAGATAATTTTGTCTATCCCGTGAAACTCAAAAGAGTGCGGAAAATTCACAGTAAGACGATCGTTTATCTAAGTGATTCTATCTCTTAACTCAAACCAAGCAAAGAACACATTATCCATGAAAGATTCGAATTAAACAACAACCCACGCTAAGAATAGCAAGGACACCATTCAATATACTCGATCAGTCATAATCAAGAGACTCAAGAAAGGTAGGAGCAAACAATGCCCAACTATGAAGGAATACTATTAATTAGTAATCTTCATAACCAACCAAAGATATGCAACACATACACTATCTCAAAATGCTTATGCAACTCATCCCAACAAAAGTAGGATAAACCCCACAATGGATCTCTTGAACACACTCATCATGAAATTCGAACACCAAGCCAAAGGAAAGGCTCATCAATCGAACTACTAGAAGTAGTATGAAAATAAGAAGTTTAGTTTTAAAACAATTCTATCAAGAAGCATACTTGAAAAAGAATGGTTTCTGCAAGATCAACAAGATCCAAGACAAGATGAAAACCCTCTTGGTTTAAACATACTTGACACGAAAAATGGACACTCCATTTAACAAAAATTCCTCACAGGAAAAACTCTCAAAAGAGACAACAAAAATGACCACTCAAGGGTGCTTCTAAAATTCGGCCAAGCCTCCTTTATATAGGCTTGAATTTTTCGGCCAGCACCTCTAAAAAGAAGACCAATTAGGACTCTCTAATCTTATCTCACAAGGAGTAAAAGTAGAAGAGTACTTGATCTCTTTGACTCTATCTAAAATCTAGGAAACCTTATCTAAATCACTTATCCTCAAGTAGGATAATATCTAGAAGGAATCTAAGACTCCTAATCAAAACACTCTAGCTTAATTCAGTCCACATGACTTATTTAACTAGATAAAATTCGAAAAAATTGACTCCTAGACTTAGACTAACTCTAATCTCGAAATTCAGCTCCAAATTATTGAAGTAAAATGTCTTGAACGCCCTTCCAAAAGTGGAATATTGGTCTTGCGCCCCTTAAGTTGTAGAAACCCCCAATTTACTCCAAAACTTGTAGAATTCACCTTATTGACTCCAAAAGAATGGAAAAACACTTGAAACAATTAAGATAGTTTGCACCCTATCCAATTGTGTAGCAATGGACTCAATCTTGAACACTTGGATCAAATAGGCCGTCCACTCATGAACCTAAATGACTCTTCTCACTAGCTTTGATCAATGATCTTCATGGAGCACACAGAGTCAAACTCTCTTGATACTCTTCAGCACTTATTTCCATGAGGTCTTCATCTCCTTTGGTTTGCACCCCAAAGTTAATGACATTCTCATCACCTTGATCATAGCTCTCTTGAACCAACTCCCTATCACATAGGTAGTCAAGATCCATCCTTTCTTCCTTGATTGGCCTGCAAAGTAAACTTGGCATTCCAAATCTAGAATGAAGGACTAACTCATTCCCCTCACTAGGAGAACCTCCATGGAAGGCTACATGATTCTCATCATCCCCTCCTTCTTTAAGAGGATTCGTCCTCGAATCATCAACCTCTATACCTGCACAAGGAACAAACGAGATATAAGGGTTAGTAAAATCCTCACCCTCACCACACTCTGATTTTCTCTCATTGCGTGCATTTATTTCTTTTTCCACGCTATTTTCATGGTGTTCTCTCGCCTCAAGTCTTACCTCATCGTGACCCTTTTTACTTTCTAGCGTCACTCGCTCGACTTTTTCTCTCCCTTGTGTATAGGTTATCTTACGTCTTTTCTCTCGCACAGATTCAGATCTTCACAAGCCAAAGGCTTAAGAACATATTTTCTGTCCTCTTTAGTAAAGACAAAGATATTCTTTGAGCAATGGTGCACAAAGCATCTACATCGATCGCCAAGGCCTACCTAGCAAAATATCACAAAGAGACATAGGAATTACATCAAAGTAAATTTCATCCCTATACTCACCAATCTGAAAAGGAACCATGGCCTTTTAGTAACATCCACAACCATCTCTTCACTCAACCATTGAAGCTTGTATGGTCTAGTATGCGGATCCATCTGAATTCCGTTTGCTATGCAAAATTCCTCACTTACACAATCAGTACTCGACCCACCGTCGATTACCAAATCAACTTCATTGGACCACCCAACCGAACACTTAGTACGGAAGATACAAGTCCGTTGATCTCCATCTTCAGCTCCAAACACCAACCCCGATCCTCAATTGGACCATTCCAACCACAAGAAGTATCATGCTCTCTTTCCACTTCTAAGGCAGCATAGTATGCCTCATAGAGCCTTGATTGTCTCCTTATCTTTGGATGTTGTTTGAAACACTTGTCCAAGCCATAGTGGAAACGGTCTGTCAACATGTAGTCGTTCTCATCCACTTCGAACTCGAAACAACCCTCTAATTCCTCAAAGTAAGATTGAATGGATCTATCATTCGCTTACAATTGAGCAACTTCACTTTTGCTTCATCAAAGGTGTTAGTACCAGCATATCTTTCTCGCAAAGCACTTCTCAAATCATTCCAATCATCCAAGTTACGAAACCAATAATGCGAATAGATATTTGAAACTAGCTTCCACCAATTCAAAGCATTAGAACGAAAACAACCTATAGCTAAGGCTATTTTCTCACTCTCTTTCTCTATGTTAAGCAACACAAACAAATTCTCTATGCTCTTTTCCCAAGTATCATATTCTCTATGACAACCATAAAACAAAGGCAATGACACTTGCAACATTCCAGCATACGAGGGTACTTGTTTAACTTCAAAACGATCACATAAGACTCTTAAATTTTCAGCAATTTTCTCAAAACTTACCATAGCTTTATCTTGCTGATTTGAAAGCATTTGAGACAAGTCTCGGTTTGCCTCCTTAACCTCGGCCAAAGCTTCATGTAGGAAGTCAATTTGACTCTTCATGAGCTGTACTTGAGCCTCCATGCGACCCTCTACACTCTTTGAAGCGATTTGAGTACAACCAGCAACTCCGGATGACATCTTTGCTCAACAATCTTGAGAATCCACAAACAAAAGAAGTAATGTGCCTTGTTTACTACACAAAACCTCCTTGAACCCTAGAACCAAATTATGGTTCGGCCAAAACCCCCCCCCAAGAACCAAAGGAAGGTTCAAATAAAGCTCTCCCCAAAAACAAAAACTCTCTTGTGCTTTTAAGAACACAACTCTCAAAAATTTCAGAATTAAAGAGAAGAGTGCTTCCCTTGCTTTTCTCTTTTGATCTCGGCAGCAAGAAAGAAGAAGAAAAATTGGAGTAGAGTGTGTGAGAATTTTCGAAAAACAGCACTCCTAGTTATAGGTAATGCAAGTCTTTTTGTGCAAGAAAACTCCTACAAGATAGGACCTAAATTTTCTCAAAAATATTCCCCCCTAAATGATGAAGGTTTGCTCGACAATGTGGAATAAAGAAGAAGAAAAACCGGCCTCATATATATAGACAAGGATAGAGTCCTAAAACTTAGGTAAACATCATCCTTTTTGGACACAAATTAAGAAAACTCATCCCTACTTATTAGAGATAAAATTTTCGACCCCCCTACTACTAAAAGGACTCAAATACACGGCCACACACATGCACAAATGTATTAGAAGACTAAAATATTTTTAGATTAGGATAAGACTTCCTTATCTTAATAGTTTTTGAAAATAGACTCACTTTAAAACTCTAATTATAATCTCACTGAAATTATAATTTAACACATGCAAAAATTAGTATTTAAATCCAAGTAGAACTTAAATAAAACACACAATAAAATTGTATTACAATTAGGAAACAATGGCTGCAATTTTCGGCCAATGTGAACACAAAAATCCAAAACCGACTAGGACTCAAATCATAACACAATTTGGACTCAATGACCTTAATTTTAGAGCTAAAATTTTCGGCCATGTGAACACACAAATACAAGACCAAATAGGTCTCCAAGTGTAACACAAATAGACAACCAAAATTCAAGTTCAACTAGAATTAGGAAAACCTAATTTTTAGCTTCACAATTTCAGCTATACTATGACTCTAAAATTCAAAACCAACTAGGCTTAGAATAACACATAAATCACACGCACACACATGCAAAAAGTCAGCAAAATTTCGGTCATTAACCTTTTACCACATAGTTAAAATTTGAAAAATTACTTTTGACTCACTTAAAAAAGGAAACTTGAAAATTACCACTTTCCAAAAATGGACAACAACTTTTAGAATCTTTCTAAAAACCCTTTTCCAAATTGTACTTGGAATTAACAAAAATCACTTTTTACCAAAACAATCCATGGCAAATAAAGTAACAAGAACACCATAATTATAATTCAATTATGACATTTGCTTCATAATACTAAATTCAACACAAATCATTCTGAAAACTCAATGACTTAACAATGCCATCTTCATAAGTGACCATTGAAAATCAATCTTTCAACAACCAAATATGTAAACTTTGAGAATACATCTCAAAACCTATAAGATTTCTTGTCAAACATTAAGAAAATCTTTTTTAGAAAATCTTCACTTAATTTTCGACCCTACTCTCGAAAATCAAGGTTTTAGAACACAAGTCAAAGACTTTAATCCTTAAAGTTGGCACAATTCAACTTCAAAGACCTTAACACACTTTGATACCAAAACTGATATCACTAAAATTCATTCTTCATCACTTGACAAAGAAAGTTTTTGACTCAAATTCAAAGCGTAAAACTCGAGAAACAAGAAAACCAACACTTGTTAATTTTGAAAAAATCTTTTGACACTAAGATTAAACAAAATTCGGTCTCTATGAAATTTTCATGAGTTGAAAATCTATAAATTCCATTTTACTCATTAGATTCAAATGAAACCAACAAGAAGGAAGGCTTTTTCATTTATACCTTATGTAGAAAGTACAAAATCCTTAAGCTTCACCTTTCAAGAATAGATCCAAGATATTTACCACAAGATAAACTCTCAAATCTTCCTTATGTAAAGACATCTCTTTTAGAAAGAAAAGGCTAGCTCGAGCAAGAAGCTCTTCTTTGGCATCAATTCTCTCCTTAAAGATCCAACACATAAGATCCACTAACTTGCTCATAGGAGAAACAGTTCTCTACTTGCAAATCAAGGATAAATTTCAAGATGTAGCGCCCACTTTGATTAGATACTAACGTACCATCATCAAGCTCTCGCATAGACCTTAAAATAACACCACAAGATCAAACAAATGTGTAAGAAGTCTCGCACAACCACACAAAAGACAAGATCAATTTTGAAAACGTAGTTTTCACAAGAATTTGATTTATTTTTTCAACACCCCATTCCAAAACAAGAAGGAACCTTGAAACAAATAAAGATAGTACTACTCGTTAAGTAGCACAAAGCTCGATCACCACACCAAGTAACGGATTCCGTGGTAATTCAAGATATTCTCAAAACCAAGAACTATAAAGTTCCCAACTAAGAAGAAATCTCTCGAAAATCAAACTGATAATAGGAATTGATATGACAATATCAATTAATACCATCACTAAGATAATCCAAGCTCTGATACCAAGAAACTTGATAGCAATCTCGTAGACGAAGCAAATTTCGTTAATGCAACCATCAACAAGAAGGTACGAAGATAATTTTGTCTATCCCGTGAAACTCAAAAGAGTGCGGAAAATTCACAATAAGACGATCGTTTATCTAAGTGATTCTATCTCTTAACTCAAACCAAGCAAAGAACACATTATCCATGAAAGATTCGAATTAAACAACAACCCACGCTAAGAATAGCAAGGACACCATTCAATATACTCGATCAGTCATAATCAAGAGACTCAAGAAAGGTAGGAGCAAACAATGCCCAACTATGAAGGAATACTATTAATTAGTAATCTTCATAACCAACCAAAGATATGCAACACATACACTATCTCAAAATGCTTATGCAACTCATCCCAACAAAAGTAGGATAAACCCCACAATGGATCTCTTGAACACACTCATCATGAAATTCGAACACCAAGCCAAAGGAAAGGCTCATCAATCGAACTACTAGAAGTAGTATGAAAATAAGAAGTTTAGTTTTAAAACAATTCTATCAAGAAGCATACTTGAAAAAGAATGGTTTCTTGCAAGATCAACAAGATCCAAGACAAGATGAAAACCCTCTTGGTTTAAACATACTTGACACGAAAAATGGACACTCCATTTAACAAAAATTCCTCACAGGAAAAACTCTCAAAAGAGACAACAAAAATGACCACTCAAGGGTGCTTCTAAAATTCGGCCAAGCCTCCTTTATATAGGCTTGAATTTTTCGGCCAGCACCTCTAAAAAGAAGACCAATTAGGACTCTCTAATCTTATCTCACAAGGAGTAAAAGTAGAAGAGTACTTGATCTCTTTGACTCTATCTAAAATCTAGGAAACCTTATCTAAATCACTTATCCTCAAGTAGGATAATATCTAGAAGGAATCTAAGACTCCTAATCAAAACACTCTAGCTTAATTCAGTCCACATGACTTATTTAACTAGATAAAATTCGAAAAAATTGACTCCTAGACTTAGACTAACTCTAATCTCGAAATTCAGCTCCAAATTATTGAAGTAAAATGTCTTGAACGCCCTTCCAAAAGTGGAATATTGGTCTTGCGCCCCTTAAGTTGTAGAAACCCTTAATTTACTCCAAAACTTGTAGAATTCACCTTATTGACTCCAAAAGAATGGAAAAACACTTGAAACAATTAAGATAGTTTGCACCCTATCCAATTGTGTAGCAATGGACTCAATCTTGAACACTTGGATCAAATAGGCCGTCCACTCATGAACCTAAATGACTCTTCTCACTAGCTTTGATCAATGATCTTCATGGAGCACATAGAGTCAAACTCTCTTGATACTCTTCAGCACTTATTTCCATGAGGTCTTCATCTCCTTTGGTTTGCACCCCAAAGTTAATGACATTCTCATCACCTTGATCATAGCTCTCTTGAACCAACTCCCTATCACATAGGTAGTCAAGATCCATCCTTTCTTCCTTGATTGGCCTGCAAAGTAAACTTGACATTCCAAATCTAGAATGAAGGACTAACTCATTCCCCTCACTAGGAGAACCTCCATGGAAGGCTACATGATTCTCATCACTTGATGTAGGCAAAAGCTGTGCCATCTTCACCGATTCCCCTTTCTGTAATGAACTTTCGCATTATGTGCTTCAAAAAGAAATCCCAACCCTTCTTCCTTGGAAACAACCTGGGCTCCCATTCATCTGTGATTGCATTGAGGGCTTGTTCTTGCAACGCCCTTGGTGGTTGTGGAGGTGGCGGTGGGGTTGGTTCTCTGGCGGGGGATGCTGGTGGAGTGGGTGTTCTTTGCCGTTCAGGAGAGGGCGAGGATGAGGAGGATGATATCCTTCTCCTTGTGTTGGAGGCGTTTTTGCGGGCAGCAGCCTTCCTCCTTGCCGGCGGCATCTTTTACAAACCCTAAGAGTTGTGTCGGAGATTGAAAGAGGGGTTTTGTGATTGAATCTGAAAATTGCCTTAGTTGCCTAGAAACTCAGAGAAATTGTTAGTATGTTCACACAGGGAAGTGGTGGTTGAAGGAGTAGTTCTGGAAATAAGAAGAAAACGAAGAAGACGAAGCAATGAAGGAGTTATGAGTTAATGCACAGCAGTTAAAGTTTTTGGAAATCGTGGCTGACTGAAGTGACTCAAAAAGGCGGACGTGGTTAAAATTGAAATTTGAAATTTTTCGGAAAAGTTTCCCACCAAACTTAAACTATAATTACAGCCCAAAAAGGTGACGTTTTGCAGAAAGTGTCGTACAGTTGTTCTTACTCAGGCGAGTGGATTGTTCCACTTGCGTGAGTGACGTTAGGGTTAGGAAATTCGTAGGATTCCTTCCCGTAGGTTCACTCAGCTGAGTGACCTTCTTCACTCCTAGGAGTGAGTTTACCTGAGGCCCTTTCTGTTACACCTTTTGAAATCTGTTGGGGTGGCAAATTTCTTGTCCAATCCTGCAAAAA